AAAATCATCTTTTACTGGCTCAAATGCACGCAGGAAAGTTATAGAATTCTACGAATTTTGAGATTGCAATGGCGAATCCTGATTTCGTTGTTCATAACAACAGCAAACGCTTCCATGATAATCACGATGACCCTCATAATGATGAGGTTTCATTTCTTTTCTTGATTTGCTATATGAGTTTCTCAGGTTTGTAATCGATAACATGGATTTTTTTCCCAAAAGCCTGGATGGATTGTCATTTGTACGCCCTTTGTTTCCTTGTTTCATTAGCTTATCTTGATCCTGACAACTTTAAGCCATTAGCCATTGTCACTCCCTTTCCTTACATATTAATCTTTTTGGTAACTTATCTGATTGATGTCATGTCACACAATGAAAACTTATTTACAAGGAGTCAACCATGGATTTGAGGTAATATGTTGAAGAGTAAGCTTTTATAAAATTCATAAATGTTGCATGAATATTATAAAGGCTTACACTTCAACATGTTGCATGAATATTATAAAGCCTTACTCTTCAACATATTACCTCAAATCCATGGTTGGCTCCTGCTTGTAAATCAGTTTTCGTTGTGTGATATGACATCAATCAGATAAGATTAAAAAAAAATTAATAGATGTCTCTAATGAAACAAAGAAACTAGGGCCTACAAACAACAAAAACTTTCTCCATCCGGCTTTCTGAAAAGCATGCCATCAGTTACAAACCAAATATATGCGCAGGTTAGATATAAAATCCTGTAAAGAAAGAAACCTATAATTTGAGTCATCCTGATTATCATGGGAGCGGTTGCTGCTGCTAGCTTGGGTGGGGTTGAAGATGCAAAGGCTTGATGTTTTATTGAGAAGGAAGCACGGTTTAAATACAACAAATAATAACAAATTCTCAGGAATTTCTTCTACATTGTTGCTGCTGCTGCAAACTTCTCATCTCTCACTCTCTTTAACTTTACTCAAATTTTCAGTGCATAATCTTTCTGCCTATCTAACGTGTTAATAGCTATGCGGTTGTTTGATATGGGGAACTGTAGAAAGTCACCCAAAACAGATACTAAAATTAGTGCACAATCTTTCTCGATCTACCTAGCTGACAACTAACAACATATATTTATTTTCAGGGTTGTGGCTGGGAGGGGGCGTAAACTGCGCAATCGCGCAGGCCCCCCAAAAAATGGGGCTCCAAAAAAATATATATATAGTGACGTTTTATCAATAAACGCCACTATAGATGGACCTATTGCGACGTTTTTTCAAAAAAAGCCACTATTATTGTGGCTTTATTGATAAAACGCCATTATAGATGGATCTATTGCGGCGTTTGCCAAGAAAACGTCACTATTGTTGCCCCGAAATCGAATATATCTAAAAAATAGGGGCCCCTTTATACGAATTTATACAAGGCCCCCGAAAATCCTACCACAACCCTGTTTATTTCCCCCCTAAAATATGGGAACTTTAGAAACCCACCCCAAAACAAATACTAAAATTAACCTAAATAGCCTGTAAATTTGTACATTTATTTATTTACATGTACAGTAATCAAATTAAAATATATATATATATATATATATATATATATATATATATATATATATATATATATATAAAGTTACAGCAATATTCATAAGCACACTCAAATTTAATAATTCAACCAAATTTATAAGTTGAAATAGAAATCAATATTTCACACATATGGTCAGCTTTCATGAATACATTCCTACTCACTATTTTTGGTCATGTCTCAATATAAAGTTATATATATAAGTACACATATATTGATATATCTAACCACGTTAGAGTAAACCACATCTATATTTTTTTTCTTTTCTAAAGAAAAATATATATTTGTTATTTGCTTTTTTCAAAATATTGAATTATTATTTGTTATAATATTAAAAAATATTAATATTTGCATATCCCATGTCCAGTGGCCAGCTTGGATGGTTTGAGCTTACTTTAACGGATAGGTAGCCAACTATTGGAATATATAATCTTAATGCATGTTAATAAAAATATCAATTTCATTTTATTATCAATAAAATTTCAAATAAAATTAAATTAAAGTTAAAAAATAAATCTACTCACATGTATTCATATAATATAATACATAGGGTAAAGTATAGTAATGGTCACTAAACTTTTCTAAAGCTTTCATTTAGGTCCTCAAACTTTTAAAACTTGCAATACAATCCTCAACATTTAGTCCGTTTGCAATATGGTCCCCCAACAGTTACGTCGGGACCATATTGTAAATAGACTAAATGTTGAGGGACCATATTGCAAACGGACTAAATGTTGGGGGATTATATTACAAGTTTTAAAAGTTAGGAGACCTAAATTCAAGCTTTGAAAAAGTTCAGTGACCATTACTATACTTTACTCTAAAAATAAATGCTTCAAATTCTATAATATTTTAGCAATCAAAATTTTTTTATTAAAAAATTATTAACATTTTATCATGGTTAAGTAATTATCTTTCGTTAAAAAATATACCGTCCAATCAACACTTGGCACGTAAATATAAAATTTTTAATTTATAAAAAATCATAAAATTCCTTATTTAGCAAAAAGATAAAATACTAAACTCCTAGGTTTTTTTTTATAGAAAAATCTTAAATTCCCTTTTTCTCCTTCCATTTACGTCAACAAAATTTGTTCCTAGTAGGTTTTGTGGTGTCTCATTTTACCAATTTGTATGGTAAAAGAGTGAAATTTACCGATCAAAGAAATAGATAATAACCATCAATTCAACACTGACTTTTAGATTTTCCCCCTTCAAAATTTAGGGATTTAATAGTTTATTGAGAAACTAATTAATCTATCGATTTTATGTTACAATAAAGAGACAAATGACTGATTGAGGTCTAACGATAAAAATGACAGACGATGACGGTTGATTTAACAAAAATATGTATGTTTTGGGGATTGGGGGTTTCATGATTTATTGGGATTAAGAATTTTATGATTTTGCAGTATTCAAGAGATTAAGGATTTAAAAAGTTTATTTTAAAAGAAATTAACGTAGATTAAAATCAGGCCACACGTAATATATTCATTAGATGATAGATTTTTATTAAATGTTAATGGTTTGATCTTAAAATGTTAACGAAATAATACGTTAGAAACTTTGATAAAAAATTAGACACATAAAGTGTAGAAGATATATAGTTTGAAACTTTTATATATATATATATCAAGCCTTAACAATATAAAGACTAAATTGAAAAATAAATGTCTAAAGTTTTTTTATCGAAGTAATTATCTAATATTTTATTTCCTTCTTATTTCTAAATCAACTGTTAAGATATTATCTAATGTAATATAATTCAATATATGACATTTATTCATCTTCCTTTCTTTCGTTCAATTATTTAGAAAAATAAACATAAACACAAAAATTGAATTGAAAAATAAAATAAACTTAAGTCATAAACACTTTGATTTCGAGGACTCATTGATTCTCACAACATCAAATTTGATTTATATCATTTTATTTTCGTTTTTCTAAATAAAAAAATCTTTAATCTCAAAACTTATCCAACATTCATCGTAAAATTAAAATATAAATTCTCAAAAATTTGTCCCAAAATACTTTGATATTGCTTATAATGGTGAGTTGCGTACAAAATACAAGACTTGAAGAACTCATTAGTAGATGATACTGATTTTTTTAACGATTAACGTATAAATAATTATGGTATAAAAAATAATTATTTTAGTACAAAATAAACATTTAAATAAACAATAATTTAAATATTTTATTTTTATTTAAACCTTAAAAAAGACAAAAAAACTAATTTCGAGGACAAAGAAAGTGATACTGAAGAAAGACTTTTTCTGTTTTTATTTATTTATTTTCCTTTTACGATTTTGATGGCCATCCATTTAAGTTTGTGAAATATTAAATGCCAATCACATTCAGGGGTGTACTAGTTGTAAAATTTTAAAGGGTAAAACACACAAATGGTCCCCAATTATAAGGTATTATTTTAATGTAGTTGGACATCAACCTACTAACTGAGATATGATAAAATTTGATCTTAAAATCTCAAACGACTAACATAGCTTAGTCAACATGTTAACGTCTAGCTTAGACGATCGTTAATGTTTTAACTAAGAATGAAGAGTTTGGAATATACGAATACTAGGGTGATCATTTTGTAACTTTTAATAGGTCGTGAGTTCAACAAAGTAGCATCATATAGTCGGGGCCATATGTGTACTTTACCCAATTTTAAGACATATAAAATTATTTTTTATTACAAATTTTTTTATATATTATTTTTAGTTTATCATTTTTTGTTTGAGTGAATATAAAGTAGCATCATATAGCCGGGATAATATGTGATTCTTGAACCTAAAATGTTAATGAATAACCATAATTTTTTAATTATTGAAATCGATTAATTAATGCTTATCTTGTTATTTGAACGAACATAAAGAGAGTGAAAAAATGATGTGACGAAAAGATTAAAAAAGACTTATATCACGAATAAGTATATAAAGTATACTATTTTTTTTCATTTAAGTGCCTAAAGTTTTTTTTGTCAAAATGAATACCTAAAGTTATATTTTTGGTCAAAATAGGTACGTAAAGTATTTTATGTCAAAGTAGATACCTAAACTATTCAAACTTTTTCATCTAAGTTTTAAAAAAGTTGACATGTGACATTAATTAAAGAATACTTTAGGTATTTAGATGAAAAAACGGAATACTTAGGTACCTATTTGACCAAAAAAATATTTAAGGTACCTATTTTGATTAAAAAAGATAACTTTAGGTATTTATTTTGACCAAAAAAATACTTTAGGTACTTAAATGAAAAAAAATGATACACTTCAAGTACTTCTTTGTTATATAATCCTTAAAAGAACACCAAACATGCTTCAAATCTTTGTCTGAAATCAGACGTGGCACAACTTTAAGGGCACTCCCGAAAAGTGACTATAACCACACTTAACTTTATTATTTTGACGCCATAAGCTTAACTTTACAGCGAAGAGCCGACACCTTTTCTTTATGTTCAACTGCAAAAACAAGAGTGCTCCGAACAGCAACCCCTCTTTGCCTGAAGAAAAGGGGAGGAAAAAAAGGGATTGATAATTCGAATCTCCATCGAATTAGGTCACTTTGTCACTCGATTTCCCTCTGAATCAATCAGTAATTTATATCTCTCCATCTCTATACCTTTCTTTTGCTTTCGTTTTCACTCTTTTCTCCGGATCGGCGCTTTCTTTAACCCTTCTTTTTGTTCTCTCCATGAAAAATAAAACCCTTCCATTTCCATTCACGATTTGTTTATTTTTCTTTTCATGTTTGATTTTAACTGACCACTTTTTGTGTGATCTTTGTTTGTATATTTACGTTGGCAGCGAAATTTTAATATTTCTCTCTTCTTACTGATCTTGTTCTTTGTTTTTAGGGCTTAATTATATTTTGATTGTTTTTAGGATCTCTGGGTCTGCGTTGTTTCTTGTGAATTTGAAGCTTGTAAAATCACTGTGAGAATCTCTTCTGTACTCTAAAATTGTACATTTCTGATTTCCTTTTTTTTTTGTTCTTTCTAGTTTTAGGTTATGGGTTCTATTTAGGCTTTCTAGGGTTAAATTATAAGTGATAATGATTTTAATGAAGTTTGGAAAGATGCTAAATCTTTTTTTATTATGTTATTAAACTTCTTTAATGCGCTCATTGTTAATTTAGGGCATTTTAGAACTGGGAGAGAAATGCAAGAAAAGGGAGTTTAAATTGTTGCGACTGAAGCTGCTAGTTATAAGTGATCGTCTCTCACTTTAAATGTTACATCTACTACATATGGTTTCAGCTGCTGATGCAGTTTATTGGGTTATCATTAATTATAGTGGAGTTGATTAATAGTTAACTTAGAACAAGGAATGTATATTTTCATGACCCATTGATGATTCTTTCAATGGCTTCTATAGCTGCTGACCTTTTCTTGTTATTCATACCAATTTGTGGTGTTTTGCCCATTTATGGCCATAGCTATATATATTTCTAAGTTTATTGTTTTTTTCTCCATTATCCTTCGTCGGTCATCAGTTTACATACGGTGTATCTGGTAATGAATGTATCACTTCTGTTCACAGACAATGTTCAATTCTTAGAAAAAATATTTATCAGTTTGTGTTGAACTTCTTCTTCCCTGATATTCAGTTTTATTCCCTGCACGTTTTTCCCTTTTGGTTAAAAAAAGTAAGATTGTGTACTGTAGAAAGCCTGTTTGGTTGCTGATGTCTTTCTCATTCAGGTTTTATGCCATGGAAGACACACGGTCGGTTGCAACCCTCATAGACTCAACAACCTCTAAGATACAACAGCTTCAGAAAGCATTTGCTGAACTTGAAAGTCATCGTGCTGTAACACTAAATCTAAAATGGAAAGAACTCGAGGAACATTTCCATGGGCTTGAGAAGTCCTTGAAGAGACGCTTCCACGAGTTGGAAGACCAAGACAAGGAGTTCGAGTCAAAAACAAGGAAAGCTCGAGAAATGTTGCAGAAGCGTGAAGCAGCTGTTGTAGCCAAAGAACAAGCTTCATTGGTGAGGTTGCAAGAAAAGAGAGATGCTGCTGTTTTTGCCATTACTAATGCACTAGATAAGCATAGGAAATCATCTGAGGAGCCTGCTGATGTCAGCTGTGATGGAGACAGTGGTGAACTGTCAGTTGAGGAGAAACCGCCTGATTCTGTAGCTTCTGAAAGCAACTCAGAGGAAACAAAAAGTTCTTTTGAGAATGGAAATTTCGAGGTTAAATTGTATCCCCAGTTGGTAAAACTATGTGAAGAGATGGATTCTAAAGGACTGCATAAGTTTATATCTGATAATCGTAAGAACCTTGCTGCCCTGAAGGAGGAAATTCCATGGGCGTTGAAAGCTGCCGCAAGCCCATCTCGCTTGGTCCTGGAATCTTTGGAAGGGTTTTACTCTTCAGAAGTGCCAAATGTGGATGGAAAGAAAGACTCAAATCTATTGGGTCTTAGGCGAACCTGTATCATGTTGATGGAATGTCTTAGCTTTTTGCTAAGTAATCTGGATATGGTTTCTGCTTCTGTAGTCATCTCTGAAGATTTTAAGAAGCAAGCAAAGTCGATTGCTGAGGAATGGAAACCAAAATTGGATGCTCTCGACATGGATTCTAGTAATGGTAACTCTTTGGAGGCTCATGCTTTCTTGCAACTGCTTGCCACTTTTGGTATTGCTTCCGACTTCAATGAGGAAGAACTTTCAAGGCTGATACCAATGGTCTCTCGTCGTCGACAAACAGCTGATCTCTGCCGCTCCCTTGATTTGTCTGAAAAAATGCCAGGTTTGTCGGTTATAAAGATTAATTAGTAATATTTTATGATTCATTTACACAGACTACTTGTTTGTGAGAAAAGAGGACATTGATTATAAAAAGTAAGCATGAGTATTTCTCTGTTTATCCCATGGGTTTATGAATGTCTGTTTCATCCATTATGTTTCTTCTCTATTTTAATAGAAGTGATATGATTAACCATGTCAGGTGAGGCCTAGTAAATTAACTGCCTTTTCCCATTCCACCTAAGGTGACTTAAAATTCAAGGTCAACCCGTTGTCTCGAAGAAAACTCACCTTATCTCCTGAATTGATAGGCACCTTGCCACATGCCCAAAGTTTCTAATTGCTTTAGGCTTAGATGCTTTTGAGACAACGTCACTGTTTGAAATGTGCTAGTTTTTGAATTGATCGAACCATCCTGCATTTTGATTCACCTTTGAGTCACTCTTAAATATTTCCCTTTGGCTGTTTTAGAAAACCAGTCAGTTCTTTCATTTGATACTGTTGTAGAAAATCAAATATTCTTTTTAATATTTCTATGATTTTATATTGTAGGTGTTGTTGAAGTTCTGGTGAATAATGGAAGGCAGATTGATGCAGTTAACCTGGCTTTTTCATTTGAGCTTACAGACCAGTTCTCACCTGTACCTCTACTTAAATCCTACGTGAAGGAGGCAAGAAAAGCTTCTCCGGCTGTTAAGCCTGGAAATGCCTCTCCCACTGCACAGGTGTGTTCTTTAGGTGACTGGTGTTGTGGCTAACATTGGCTGAATATATTGACCTTGGCCAATACTTTAACATCATTTTAAGGGACAAACTCATATTTTTGTTTGTCCCAACAAGGCCTTGTCTGAATCAGATTTGACCAACTGACAAGTTAGCCATTGAACATATTTGGCTCATGTCTGATCAATCTTGGTATGATTTGGCTATAAGTTCCTGCCGCAATAGATTTCAGGAACCGGACATTGTTTTGTTAGATAGATTGTTTAGCAGCTACTTGTATGTGACCTGAAAAGTAGATTTGTTCTTGCAACTTAAAATGCATGAAAATATTTTGTCAATATCCATGCTTGCAAACCTTATTGTTTCTCTGCATTTTGGTAAACGGCTGAAATGGTTTCTTTTCCAGATTGAGGTTAACGAGCGAGAGTTGTCTGCTCTTAAGGCTGTGATAAAATGCGTGGAGGAGCACAATCTTGAGGACCAATATCCCATTGATCCACTTCAGAAGCGGGTTATCCTGTTAGAGAAGGCCAAGGCAGACAAGAAGAGGGCAAATGAAGCTCCTCAACCCAAGAGACCTCGTGCCAATGGTGCTGGATATGGTCCACGAGTCGCTAACATAGCTACTGACAAAGCATTCTATCCTATAGTCACTGATATGTACCCGCAGTATGTGTACGAGAGACCCTATGTTTACACTGTACCTTCCGACAACCACGGCATTCCTGTTCTTGGTTCTGTCACCTACAACTTCCCTCCCAGTCATGGGAACTACTTTGGAAATGGCTATCAGTACCAAGCTCCCTATCTTCACTAATTTCCTAATATGGCGAAAAGGTAACTGTGATCCTCTCACATTAGCTGTTAGCCTTGACCTTCATCAACGTTACTGTGTATGAATGGATTTAAGTATTTTATAAAAACTGGAGGAAAAAAAGAAGAAGCTTGTTAATTTTAATATGTTGTAGAAGAAGACATTTCGATCTAATATATGCACTCTGTTTTTCTTGTATATTCTTATTTTAGTCTTTTCTTTTACACTTTCTATTAGTACACAATTGAGGAATGCGATCTCCTGTCTCGAATCGAATCCAAATTTAACAAATAGAGACTCTCCTTTAGCCGACTTGCTCCCTTTGGATCTCCGTCGACTTTTGGCAAACGTCACTTAACCCCTTTCAAACTCCACCTCTGGAACGCCTGCATTGCTCTCATCGTTCTTTTCAAAATGTCACTATGCTTCACGACGTGGCTGCTGATATGCTTATCGGAGTCCCTTCCCCGGCTATCAAATCTGCTTTGTTGGCACGATCATAAAATCTTCGATCTGGTCTCTACATGCTTCTAGAGAGCCACGGATCTCCTCTCAAAATTCGGTGAAAGTGAAGTATCGGACGTAGGAGAGAGGAATCTTCTTTTAGATTTGAAACTCGCGAGACCTCGCATTGCATGGGAGATATCCGAGAAAATTATTGAATCAGTCGAAAACTCTCCTTTCCGGTTCTTTGGTCCATTTCAAGAGAAAACGGTGGTGAGATGGGGGATCACCATGCTTTGTTGCCGGTTTGGCAATGAAGGCGCTGCTTGGGTTAGGGATTCCAGTGGGCGTTTGGTTCTCTGCGCTGGAAACTAATTTTCAGGCGAAGGGGTTATTTTTGGGGGTTGTTGAGACGACGTGCACATGCTGCTGTGAGGGTGGTTCATAGAGTGGTAGGGGATGATAATGGAATTGAGGGGTCGAGGATTAGAGCAAAGGTGGTGGTGGAGCTGAGAGAGTTGAGGGAGGCTCTGGCCAAAGAGAGCACGTCCATGCACTCTGTTCTTTGGAATTGGCAGGTTCCTGCCATTTTTTATTGAGAAGAAACTAATAATGCAGGTCTCAAAGGTTCAAATTGAAGATTTTACTGATGAAGGTGCATCGTTTCTCTTTTGACTGCCACAATCCCATGTTTACTTGATGATTCAATCAACTTAAGAAACTATAAGAGAATATGAGAAAATAAATATGAACAACTAGATCGATTGGTTAAATATATTTGTTCAAAGACAACTAATAATTATTATTGTAGTAAAAAATTTCTTGACATGATAAGAGATTTGTGTATCTTGACATACGAATTGGGTTTCATTTTCTAAACTCTCTTATTTTCATCTTTTATCCGTTTCTATTATATACATTACACACCATTATACCTTGTAGAATATCTATTACCTTGCAAGAGGCGTCTTCTTTCTTATTATGCTAGACTATTGAACTTGTTTGATGTTAGATTCGTTTACACATAAGTTAATAGCTTTGCTTGTCTAAGTTTGTCGCTGGTGGAAAAACGGATAGGAACTCTCTTATAAATTTCTCTTGTACGGTTATTAGGAACAATTTCTTAACGATATGCAACTACAACATCGACCGTATATAGTGATAACGATATTGTTTAAAACTGCTCTTACGGAAGGTATTTCATAATTCGGAGGTCTCTTACGGAAGCTGCTCTCAACCTGGTGTTGGGAGTAGCCTACTATCTTACCTCCCCCTTACCCCATATATATGGGAAAAAGGGACAGCCATTTCATTTCATTTCCATTTCGATATTGTTTAAAACTACGATATTCATAATCATACTGCCCACAATACCATATATTATTAAAAATTCACAACCATAATATTTACAGTAATCATAATATCATCCGTTATAACGATAAACACAACGTGATTAAAGACATAAATACAAATTGTAATTTAGATCCTTAATTAAGGACCTAGAACTTTTATTCACCCAAAGAACACTAAAATCTCGGTCATAAGACCGAAACGTATCGATAAATGATTCAACTAAAGCAACATACATTAATATCAATAATATCGATGGAAATAACAAAGACAGATTAAATGGTGTGTATGTGATTGTCGTCGACATTTCTTTGGCTTGTTGAGGAACAGTCACCCGACCAATAAGGAATAAAAAAGGTGGTCCATTATATATATATATATATATATATATAATTAAAATACACTAATAGTCACTCGATTATAGTGTACAACTTTATTAAGTCTATCAACTATTAAAAATTACAAAATGATTATCCGATTATAAAATATTACTTTATTAAGTCTCTCGACTATTAAAAGTTACAAAATTGTCACCCGATTATTCTTTATGTTTCAAACTAATATTTTTTCATTAAAAATAGGTGGTTGTCTAAGTTGGACGTTAACATAATGACTGTGATATAATAGTTGTCTGAGATTCTAGGATCATATTATCATATCATAGTTAACATGTTAATGTTCAATTCAGAATACAATCAAATTTTTAACTGAAAAAGATGAGTTTGGAACATAATGAATAATTGGGTGATCATTTTGTAACTTTTAATAGTCAAGAGACTCAACAAAATAATATTTTATAGTCGGATGACTATTTTGTAACTTTTAATAGTCGTTAAACTTAATAAAATAATACTCTATATTAAGGGATCATTTGTGTACTTTACCCTACATATCTTTTTAAAAGGAGTCCAATATTTCGACCCGCCAAGATTTAATCCTAAATCCGTTCTTAGAAAATAATATTTTTTTTATTGAAATCAGTTAATAGGTAATGATAGAAAAGAGTTCTTAACGGCGAAAGTAAAAATGACTTAACTTTTTTTTAACAATAACAATCGAATTTAATTAATAATGAAGGAATCAAAATTATTAAACCCAAAGATATGAAGAAAAATAAAACATTCCGTTGAGAATGACGACTAATATCAAAACCCAATAACCTTTAAAGAAATTTCTTGTCTATTTCAGATGAGACGCTTTACAATGTGATAAAGAAGTGGTGAGCGAACCAAACAATCTGGAAGGCTGCTTCGCTACATAATTCTGATTACATCGATAAACAACATTTTACCAAAGAGGGGATCTGACTATACATAACTACCGACAAACCAATCAGAAAATAAATATCGTGATAGTTTTTGTACAAGTACCAAAACGACTGCAAAGCTGGCTCTCTCGAAGCTTTTATAGAACGATGCAGAGATACTGGTCGTACTCATCTTCTGATCAAGAGTACACGAGAATTTTATCTATAAAGACTACTGCAAACTGATCTAAGTACGGGTAGAAGACCCAATTCATTAAGTTCATGAATGTCGATGGAGCGCTGGTGAGCCCAGACGGCATTACAAGGAATTCATAGTGATCATATCTCGTCTTGAAAGCCGTATTTTCTACATCGACGTCCTTAACTTTCAACTGGTAGTATCCCAACCTCAAGTTGATCTTGGAGAACACACGTGCTTCCCTAAGCTAGTTGAAGAGATTGTCGATCCTAGGGAGAGGATAATGATTCTTGATGGTGAACTTGTTCAACTCTTGATAGTTGATGCACAACCTCATCGACCCATCATTCTTCTTTACGAAGAGAACTAGTGCTCCCCACAGAGATATACTTGGTCTAATGAAGCCTTTCTCTAGCAAGTCTTGGATCTGACCTTTCAACTCCTTTAGCTCCGTCGGTGCCATGCGGTAGGGTACAATGGACACAGGAGCAGAACCCGACAACACCTCAATACCAAACTCTAACTCTTAATCTGACGATAACTCTAGTAACTCTTTTGGGAACACATCAGTGAAATCTCAAACAGTGCGACTATCCCAAGTGTTAGAACTGAAATTCTGGTATCAACTACGCGAGTCAAGAAGGCCTCACAACCCCTGTCGATCAACCTCTGAGCCTTCACGGCTGAGACAATCCTTGAACACCCTGATTTCTCACTAGTTATTATTAACTTGGTACCATCAGTTCTCGAGCTTGAGTTGTCTAGCTTTGAACTTTAAACTAGTGTTGTGTTTGGATAACCAATCCATAACCAAGATCAAGTCGAATTCTCGGAATTGCAACTCCACTAGCTCGACTAAGAAGATCTGACCCTAAATCTCTACTAGACATCGACGATGAACCTTGTCCACCAGAACATCTAGATCTAAAGGATTGGACACTCGGAATCCTATGTCTAAATCCTTAGCTGGAATGTTTCTATATCGGACTAGATCATAATAGATGTAGGAGTGGGTGGAACCTGGATCTATTAATGCGGTAACTGGAATGGAAAATACTGTAAAGGTGCCTGATATCACTTCTGCCTTATCACACTCCTCGTGGGCTTTCACTACAGGATCTATGTGATGAAACATTCGGAACGAAAATAGATACTGTAGAGCCAGTTGGTAATTTAGGAGGAGTCGCAACGGGCTGTAATTTAGCCGAAGAGCTAAAAGTGTTCGAAAAATTTGACGTTGGAGAAGACACAAGTTTAATTCTAGGCGTGTAAGTTTTTTCCTGAGATCGACAAAAATAGCCTCAACATGTTTGACCATCTGAAAAACTTCTAAGAGGTTTTTTTGGCTTGAACAGCTTAATATATTGACTTATCTCAATCCTTAAATGATTATTAAAAATACTTAGGGCGTAGTCATCGGGTAATTGTACCTGATTCAGTAAGCTCACAGATTCTTCATAGAATTGCTCTACTGATCGAGTCTGATGGAACGCTACCAGCTCAGAAAATGGATCCTCGAAGCCTCTCGGTGTAAATCAATCCCTCAATAGACATATATTGTTCCCAGTTCATCTGCTCCATTCCCTCGTTACTTTGGATCACAAATTGGTGCCACTCCCTTCTAAATGCAACATTACTAGTCTAATCTTAGTTGCTTCAGGACTGTTTCTACTTCGAAAAATTGCTCGAGTTTAAACAATCAGCCTCTAATATCTAAACCATCGAACTTTGAGCATTTCAACTTATAAGCCAAATTGCCTACCTCCACTTGACCGTTACGCTCTATCACCGTATGTTCCCTTTCCCCAATTGTTGATTCATTGACCACTCGAATTCCTGGTGCTGGACAGAGAATCCCCTTCGATTGTTCAGACGTTACCTCAGAAATTTTTGATTTCCCCAAAC